CCTAAAGAGCGATCTACAGGCTTTCGCCCAGTGGTGCCGCACATGGCGCCTTTCTCTTTCTTGGCATAAGTGCTCAGTCATGGTGGTTGGCGACGACCGCCAACCTCAACTAAGTATTGAAGGTCACGCCATAAATGTGCCTAGGGTTATTAAGGATTTGGGCGTATCATACTCCAAGAGTTTCAATCTCTCGGAGCACTGTGCCTTAATAGTCTCCAAAGCACGCAGAACGACCGGGTTTATCCTCCCAAATTTTAAAACTAGGGACATTAGAATGCGCCTTTTCAACATGTACGTTAAACCTGGTCTGGAATACTGTTCATTTTCATTTAGCCTCATGCGTGCTACTGAGCGGAAGAAAATAGAATCCGTTCAACACTTTTTTACCAAGAGAAATTTAACCCCGGAACCCCGACATCTGTCTTACCAAGAACGTTGCCGGTTTACAGGCCTCGATCCTTTATGGTTCCGTAGATTACAAAAGGGACTATTTTTGCTATTTAAACTCTTATATAATCACACAGTTAACCCACTCACCTCTTTAAGACATCATATCCACCCACGACGTAACAGTCACCGTGAGGTCTTTTTATTTCTGCCTCTAGCACGTACTGTTAAATATCGTCGGTTCTTTTCTGTAAATGCAATTGCTATTTGGAATAAACTACCCATGAGTGTGAAAACTCTGCAAAATTATCCTTTATTTAAGAGAACTATTACTCGATTTTTGCATTCAGAAAAGCTCCCACAAATTTTGGGTGCTGAAAACTCTGATCGACTCTACCGTAGCGATAGCGTTTTCTGTCTCTGAACACTATGGCCGGTCTCACCAGCTGTTCCTCAACGCCTCTACTTTGGCTATCCCCAGCTTCATGAAAGGAATTTGACTTCCGATAATCTCCGATACCGTGCAACCTCCCCCCTTCTTGACGGTCGATATTCTACCACCGCCGGCAGTTTTTTCTCCTGAGCCCTCCAAACCATAAAACCACCATCAACTATATTTTTTATCCCTTAAGCTCAGGAGTTTTTTCACTGCTGGTCGGATTTATGTTTAATCGCTTCCCTTGACAATGCCTGTAAACTGGCATTAAATAAAAATTTATATATTTATTTATATATTTGCATGAAGCCCGATGGCACCCGGCCAACCACCCGTCTCCCAAACTCCATTGTTTGAGCTTCTAACGCGTCGAACTGAGGCCATGCTCCCTTCGTTGACTAACCGTTCCGTCTTTGTCAATTGTTTGTCGATGTCGAAGACCTCGAGGCAATGACACTCAGCGACATCTGAGGATTCCGTGGCAACTGACCACCAACATTCCCTCCGCTCGGTCATCTGGCGCTATCCTCACGCGGCGTGGGCGCATACTGCGATAGTGGTGGCGACCAAGGTGTTGGTGCCCCGACTCTTCCGCGTAGCCGAACGGTTGCTCCTGTTTGTGCCCGGCACCAGTCACATTTGTCACTCTATTAACGCAAACTCACGCATGTTTTCACAGGACACCGTACATGGTTTGACCGACTTTGTAATTCGGGGCCTTAACGCAGAAGAATAAGTTGCGGAGGTGCTGCCCTTTAAACCGATCTCTCCAAAAAACAATATTGGCAGTTCGAAAATCAAGTGGACTTATACCTACCCTCCTGGGTCGTCTCCTTTGCCCTTCGTTTCAAACGCCTATCAGAAGTTGCAGTTCTCCTGCTTCCCGCTTTTCCCCACTTCCTCTCTCCATTTCCTAGCCACTGGATCCTCCGTCTTGCCTAAGTGCCCTTCGTACATATTTTCTCAGTCCGGGGTAATCGACAGTGTTTCGCACCAGCGTCTCCTATGCAAGTTGAGAATAATGGGCATCGGCGGCAAACTTCTGAACTGGATCGAGAATTTCCTCGTCGGGCGTTCCCAAATCGTCTGCGTAGGACAACAGCAATCAAGGCGCACATTCATAGAGAGTGGACTCCCACAAGGCTCGGTGCTCGGGTCAACCCTCTTTCTGTTTTTCCTGAATGATTGTGTAGATGGGTTGGACTGTGATAATGCAATGTTTGCGGATGACATAAAAATCTGGAAAGTCATACAAAGGCGCGCGTTTCGAATTTGGTTTCAAATGTTCGCTCTCGAGGAATTTAGTTACTTCGAGCTTTGGACTTACTGTACGCTCTTAGAGCTAGCCGGAATTTAGACTTGAATTCGACTCATCAATATCTTCCTCCCAACTAGTCTCCCGCAGCACATTCCCAGAACTCCGATTTCGGCCTTCCTCGTTTCTCATACTTGCAAGCCCAGAAAGTCGGATTATCTGAAGAACAATTCATCCAAAGTTTCTACAAAGGCTGAGTCGCTTTTCTACTATTAGACATTGTTTCATCATCGCCTCAAAGTATTTGTCTAATTTTTTGCTCTCGGAAGCTTCTCGACCATACCTTCCCATTCAGCTAATGAAGTTACTATCTACCGAAAGATCGTCATAAAAGCCTTTCCTTCATACTTAAGTCTACGCTCTTTGTGTATATAGAAAAGTTATCCAGAATGTTGGAGTCTGCACTAGTGTTCCAAAGTAACGCGCACTTGGGATTTGAACCGGGGACCTCAAAACTTAGAGCTCGCTCCGCTAACCCCTACACCACCTACGCACGGCTGGAGAACTCAGTTAAAAGCTTTGTTAATTCGTCACCGCAGGATCTGGTAGGATATTCATGTAATGGTTGTCAAACGATAGTCTGCAAGATGCATCAACTAGAGGAAGAAGTACGAAATGTGAAGGAACTTATACACAAGACTGTTCCTTCAGAGGACCGCCCGGTGTTATCTACGCAGAGGCTAACTCGGAGTAGAGCGAGAGCCATCCAGCGTAAGGAATCCCCAGAAAGCCATTATGGGGTGAATAAGACAACTACTATTAGTAGTCAAGTCGTGGCTTCCGATGAAAAAAAGAATAAGAAGAAGAAA